AAAGAGGGAGTGACAAAAATTGAGATGCTGAGAGCCCCAATTAGGAGCTTTCAGCGGTCCGAATGAGGAGAAATGAGGGCCTGAAGTGGATCAGTGGCAGTGCTGCTGGAGAGGAGGGGGCAAAGTCAAGAGCCCCTTTTGAAATGGAAGTGTCGATAGGATGTTGGAGACCCTTTGGATATGGGGATGAGGGAGGAGTTGGAAGATGACTTGAAGGTACCACTCTGGGTGGCAGTGTGGCTGGTGATGCTGTGAACCAGTGTGGAGAGCACAGGAGGAATGAGAGGTAGAGAGCTGGATGCCTGCATACTGGGGAGGTTGATCGAAAGGGGTTGTCAGGGGTAATAATGAATTTAGTTTACGTATCCATTCCAGTTCCTTATTTTTACCAATGAGGAAACGGAGGCTCAGAATGGTGAAGTGGCTAGTCACAGAGCTAGTTGGTTAATAGAAAACCCTCTTGTTGTTTTTATGCTGTCTGGGAGGTACCCTGCTTGGTTATGCCCGCTGAGAGCATCTGGACAGTACTAATTATCAAGTGAAAAATATTAAATACACGCTATGGCTAGGTTGCTGGTGTATGTTTTTAGCTGAGTCCATGACACCAAATGGGCCACTTCATGCAGTTGGAACAGAGGACCAGATGTTGATTTAATGGTGGTATCACAGGGGTAGAAGGCATGAAAACAGAAAGGGGCTGTAGGGATCGGCCAGAATAACTTCATTTTACAGATGAGAGAACTGAGTCTCAGGGAGAGAAATATAGTTGTCTAAGACTGCACTGGTAACGAGGGATTAAAATGAAGATGCCCTGTCTTCTGACCCATCAATTTAGTGCCTCCTGTGGGAGGTTATCCAAATTATTACCACAAGCTTTGTACTAACGTTTGTGAGGCAGTTGATTGCTCTGTCGTTTAATATCCCTTGAGGCTGAGAACTGAATCACGAGCAGCATCTACATGGCTATAGAGTGTGTGCTTAGAGACTACAAGAAATGGGGACTTACATGGTGACCTGGACCATTTTTGGTCCATGCATCCAGTATAACACTTCTTAGTTTAGAAGTTCCTCAAGGACAAAAACTCTGTATCTGCAGCACAAAGCACAGAACCTGGATCGTATTATTCAGTAAATGTGTGTCGAATCAGTGATTTAACTCCAATGGCATTTTTTTTGAACTACAGTCTTTTTTTTTTTTTAACGTAAATCACCTATGATAGTTTCATCAGGTCTGTACTTTGTCCATATGTAGGCACTCACAAAGAGTCACATGGTTCTCATTCTTTTCTTAAGAAACAGCAGACAGGGCTGTCAGCTGACAAAGGCAGGATAAAATGAGTGCTGGAAAGGCCCTGGGCTGAATGTGACCGCTTGCTGGAATGCCAAAAATACAAACTTTCCAAGTCTCCTGGCCCAGTGACCTCAATATACAAAGGTCTTTTCTTTCTAGAAACAAACTTTTTTCTTCCTGTTTCTGATCTGACACACATACCCTCACAAACTCAAACACACACACACAATCCTTATGAAGTTATAAGCCTATAGTGTGCTTTTTTGCATAGTCTTAAAAATGACCTTTTGCCGTATATTTGAAATGTAAAATCTTTCTTCTTGAGGGCTGCCTTACTCTACTATGAAAACCCCTGGACAAGCAGATTATTGAATAACCCATGACTTTGCCCTTCATCTGATTAGTTCCCTGAAAGGGATCATAAGACATCCTTAAAAAGCCTAGAGGCCTTCAGAGTTCTGAATGATAACAGAGGGCCTTTTTCCCCTATCTTCCTGAAATGTCATGGCCACCCTGATCAGTATCAAAGGAAATCACTGTATGCATAAGGAACTAAAAAAAAAAAGGAAAACAATGAAATTAAGAACTCATTGGAAAAAATGAAAGTTCATCTGTGGGTTTTGTGTCATATGAGGAGTATTATACCACTTTCTTTCATTGACTAGATGACTGTGGGAAATTTTTTTAAATGCTAGTAAAACCCATGTAAGAAATATTTTTGGATGGACATGAGCTGGCCCTGACAAAGTGTTCTTCTTTCCAGTGATACATGCTTGAGCACACAGGCTCACACACTAGGATAGGAAGCCTTGACCTTCATGCATTTTCATTAAGTGCTTACGGATCAGTTTCTCTTACAATCCACAATGCTAATGCCAGTGTGAACATGACCTACGAAAGAATTTGATAACTTGAATTAAAACTCACCGTCACAAAACCTTGAACACAAACTTAAGTGTAAAGTGTTCTTAAAGGTTTGTTGACCTATATGTTCTTAGATACATGCCAGTTTCAGCATTTTATTTTTTTAAGATAAGTTGGCTTATTCAATACACACTTAACTTTGTTTTAATTTCTAAAACTTCATAAGACTCTGAACACAAAGAAATTCCCAAATCACAATTAAAAAACTTTGGTCCTACACTTCGGGAGTTTTGGGTTCAGAAAATATAAACCCAGTCTTCAACAGCTCCTGTCTTTAGCAACTACTAGTGGATAGACTTACAAGCAATAGGATTTTGTTCATTTTGGTTGATCAGCTCAAATTCCTGCAATTTTCTTTCATAAACTCTGGTCTAGAACTCTGATTTCACTACCTTTGTCATATTGTCTTTCATAATTTTTAACATACTGAAGAAAGGGAGGGAAAACTCAAGTACAAACGAGTCGTAAGGGACTGTACTGGATGTTTCACATGTGTTAATTTAGTTCATCCACATAACAACCCTGTGAGGTGCATATTATTACTGCCGTTTTGCAGATGAGGAAAGCTAAACTTAGTGTGTTTAAGAAATTTGCCAATATTCATTTAGAAAATTAAGAATCAGAGCAAAACTGATTCTAGCTGATTGGTCTAAGACTAATCCATTTATTTATTTCTTTGTTTGTTTATTTCTATGTCAGAGTGCTTTCCTTATCCCATAGACTGTAGACTAGTTAAGGGTATAGGCCCTCAAGTTCACTGTTGTAATCCTAGCATGTAGCTCAGAGACTGGCATTGATGCGTAAATATCTGTTATCTGTTCAGTTGAGTTGAATGGGACACTCCTGGCATATAAACTTGGGGGAGAGATAGTATTATAAGGCTATGGCTCAGTGGTTAAGAGTATTCAATGTTGGTAAATGACTATGAGCTCTGGATTCAAAAAGCTCAGATTTGAATTGTAACTTCTTAAGCTTGCCATCTGTATAATTTGAACAAGTTACTTAGCCATATTGGTCTCAATTTTGGCACTTTAAAATGGGCCTAATAATTGTACCTTAATGACTATTTATGGGAATCACATCACTGATGGTTAGTGAACATACAATAAATGCTAGCTATTACTGTTATCCTTGATTGACGTTGACTGTGGATGCCTTTGTAACATACTAATCTATCGCCCCACTAAAATGTAAGCTCCATCATGGTAGGGATTTTCATGTTTTAATCATTGTATCCCAAGTATTTAGAACAACGTTGTCCAATAGAACATTCTATGATAATGGAAATGTTCTATCTTGGAGTGTCTAATACTGTAGCCACTAACCACATGTGGTTGTTGAACACTTGAAATGTAGCTAGCTAGTGTGACTGAGGAACTGAATTTTAAATTTTATTTAGTTTTAATTAATTTAAACTGAAGTAGCCACACGTGGCTGGTGGGATACTGTATTAGCAGAGTTCTGGACTGTTACATGGTTCACAGACATTTCAATAAATACTTATGAAATGAATGAATCCCCTCAGGACGCAAAGATCAACAACAGAGCTGCCTGACTGCATATTTAGTGCATTCTTTAGAGAGAAGCAATAAAGCACTCTACTGAGTGGTCTGCTCATAGGAGGTCTTATTAGGTTCCCATGTATGATTCAGTTTACAACTGTAATGTGTTTTTGATTTCTATTTCTTTTTGGTGATAGGTCAAGAAAGATTTGGAAACATGACGAGGGTCTATTACCGAGAAGCTATGGGTGCATTTATTGTCTTCGATGTCACCAGGCCAGCTACATTTGAAGCAGTGACAAAATGGAAAAATGATTTGGACTCAAAGTTAAGCCTCCCTAATGGCAAACCAGTGTCAGTCGTTTTGTTGGCCAACAAATGTGACCAGGGGAAAGATGTGCTCATGAACAATGGCCTCAAGATGGACCAGTTCTGCAAGGAGCATGGTTTCGTAGGATGGTTTGAAACATCAGCAAAGGTAATGTGACCTTAAAGGATAAACTTATTGTAGGTGAGATTCACAAAGAAAATGGCATATAATCATCGTCATTATCATCATGTTAGTAGTGTGTGTTCGTTTAGCGACTTATAGTTCCCAAACTGCTTTAAGCTCTTTCTCATTTCAAGGGGATGAGTGGAACTATTATCCACAATTTAAGATGACTGTGGCTAAGGCAGCAAAGCAACTTGTGCATGATCACATTGATAATGTTTAATAACCGTGATCGTTTATTGAGGGCTTATTTTGTGTCAGGCGTGCTTTTTGTGCACTTTCTCATTTAGTCCTCACGGCAACCCTGTTAGGTGAGTGTGGTTTTAGAGTCAATGAAAGAAATGGGCCTCACGTTCAGTGTCACTGCTTCATTCAAGTACAAATTAGTTTACCCCAGCAGCACTTACGTTCTTCTGTATGCTGGGGATTGTGCTTGGCCCTAGAAATGAAAAGATGGCAAGAACACGGAACTAGCACACTGGGAATACTGGAAGCGTGGGGTGAGAGAGTAAATGGCAGATACCAATGTGAAGAGCATAGTGTAGCTTGGTACTGTTCACTCTCCTGGGTGGTAAAGGAGTAGCAGGAAGTGGGGCAGCGTCAGGGCTGGAAGATGCAGAATCCAGTGCGGCATGGTGAGGGGTTTTCCACTTCCCATTAGGCCCCATGCTGTTATCTGACATGTCGGGGACACAATTTTTGCTCTACTCCCTTTTGTCTCTGTTTATATTTTTGTATCTCAGTATCAGAGAGAAAAATAGTATCATCATACATTTTGAAAACTTTTTTTAAAAAGCATGAATTAAAAGTAAATGGTTTACTACATTTTTCTGAGATTTTCTTGTGCATATAAATATATATGCGCATTTTACATGATTAAGATTGCATTCTGCATAGCTTTATATCACGATTTTTCCATTTTTATTTATTTGTGGAACACACATATTGAATACTTGTGGAGCACAGGCACTGCGCTAGTTGTTTGGGATTCAGCTGTGAATAAGATAGGCGTTGTCTCTGCACTTATGGAAATTCACACTTAGGCCTTGTTGTGAATATTTGTGCACATCACTAGAGAATGGTTGGAAAATATAGCTTGAATGGACATCATTCAGATAGGCTGGGGAGGAGCCTCTGACTGGTTTTACAGAGGGTAGAATGGTCAGATTTGCCCTGGGGACTATGGAAAGGTAGATTGGAGGCAAGTAAACCTGGAGACAGAGCCACATGGTAGTTATTGTATTCTTATGGGAAAATGACAAAGCCTTGAATTAAGGTAATGGCTTTAGAGATTACAAAGAAAAACCTGATATGAGAGTATCACTAAAGTGTAAACACCAGAAGGAGTAAGCAGCCACTTGGGGTGGGAGGTGATGGAAAAGAAGGAAAAGGTGGTGGTGCCTCTTTATTTTGTCATAGTTGGGATGTTCCTTTGTTTCAGCTGTTTCATGGAGAGTCTCAGTGCCTGCCTTCTCTCAGTGCTGTCTCTAAATTGGCCTTATGTTTAGAAATTTTTACTTCTCCGTTCCTTGTTTTCCTTCTTGAGGCCCCAGTGTGCTTTTATGTTTTTCCCCTTCTTTCCTTTTAAAATCCTTTGTTTCCCCTGTTTTTTTAGGATTTTTTTTCCTTTGATTCAGGACACAGTATCTGTCATTTTCTACTTCTTGGCTCTTGTTGAACCTTTTTGGTTGGTTTGTTTGAAGAATTTATTGTTGTAAAGAGAGATTGGTCAAGCAACATTCGCAGATATGATTAAGTTATAGGAATTTAAGAAATATTACATTTTGAATAGACTGATTCTTGGATGTTAGTCCGGCTTTTTAAAATATTCCAAAATGTGGGTGAATTCATCCATTCACCTATTCCTTAGCCCCATACTTTGAAGCCTCCAGGCACAGGGGTAAAAGAGTAGAATTTTGTAGAACTCCTTTTCTTAATTGGTTATCTTACATCTGGAGAGCAGTCTATATTGAATGACTCATTTATTTTTTATTTTTTATTTTTTCTTGGAGTTTAGTTGATTTACAATGTTGTATTAGTTTCTGCTGTACCGCAAAGTGAATCAGTTATACATATACATATATCCACTCTTTGTTAGGTTCTATTCCTATATAGGTCATTACGGAGTAGTGAGTAGAATTCTCTGTGCTATATAGTAGGTTCTTATTAGTTATCTATTTTATATATAGTATATAAATAGTATATATAGTGTGTATATGTCAATCCCAATCTCCCAATTTATCCCCTCCCTTCCCCCTTGGTAACCGTAAGTTTGTTTTCTACATCTGTGATTCTATTTCTGCTTTGTAAATAGGTTCATTTGTACCATTTTTTTTAGATTCCGCATATAACCAATATCGTATGACATTTGTCTTTCTCTGTCTGACTTACTTCACTTGGTATGACAATCTCTAGGTCCATCCATTGAATGACTCATATTTATATGAGGAGGGGAGTCTTCCATCATTCATTCATTCATTCATTCAACAAATGTTATGGAACACCTGTTATGTACCAGGCACTGGGAATAGAGAAACTTACAAAATAGACAGAATCCTGACTTCATGTATAACAGTAACAACAAAACATAAGTAAAATCGGGGTGGGGGGGGCAGGGGTGGGCAGATGGATAACCAGTAAGTGCTAACAGGAAAATAAAAGGAAGAAAGACACCTATAAATTTGTGGGGAGGGTTGAAATTGCTTGTGGGACAAAGGACGTTCTGGACATTTTCTTTCACCTCACTCTGACATTCCTTGCACAACAATTACAGTGTCAAACTCTGCTTAAGGGCATGATGTTCATTAACTTAAGGCCTGGCTGACCCGCCATGTACTTAGATACTGGATTTCTAATCCTCTAAATCTCTGCAAGTGTAAACTTTGAAGAGAAGCTTTGTATGGAGAGAGGATGGAGGGAATTTCACAAGGCACTGAACTGCTAATATGACCAAGAGGGTACAAGGCCTCATTGTGAAAGGTAGAACCCACATTTCTCTTTCCTCCAAACATACTGCTGTTGAAATTGTCCTTCTGAATGTCTTAATAATGAAAATGGCTTCCCGGTGCCAAATTAGTATTCAAAGTTGACACCTAGACACGCAGGAACAATACTGCAGCGTTGACAAGCTGGAGTGTCAAATGGTTCAAAAAGTCTTTTTTGAAAAAAGATCTCTGATAAAGCTCTACTTACTTTCCAAGGATAGCATTTCAGCATGTACAAAACAGAGGCCCAGATCAAACCGTCTGCCTGAAGCTAAGATGGCAGCATTCGGAGACAGCTGCCAATTCATTTGTTGGTTACCTTTGGGATCAGGGAACATTTCCCATAAGATCTTTCTCTTAGAAAGTGAATCTCCTAACAATGAAAGTCCTCTTGAGTGACATCATAGTCAGTCTGGTGATAAACATCTGATTTCCTTTTTTTTCACATTTCCAAAACTTCTAATGAGCCAAAGTCCACAACGTCTGGCTTTGTCCTCATGGCCACATCCTGGAGAAATCCTGTGGGTATATCAGCTCGGCCATACCTGAAGCTGAAACTAGCAGGTTGTTAAAGGAGTTTGTCACTGAGACCAGCCTCCTTCTTGCTGCTGACCCCACTGCCAAGGGAAATTCACCCTCTTGCTCTTCAATCTTCTAAAGAAACTTTCCACAAGAATTTTCCTGCCTGTGCTGTTGCTGGAATAATCGTAGTAGCCTCTAGCTGTGAATTAAAAGAGAAAAAATAAAAAATAAATGTATGCTAGCATCTCTGATTTTTCAGATCATCTCTTCAAATATTAAAAACCAAGGGAAAGAAAAGAAAAAGAGTCTCTCTTAAGTCAGATTTTCTTTAGTTTTCAACCTTTGCATTCTTTCCTTTTCTTAGCCATGTTTAGTTGAATTCTGCCTGGGGAGTCACTAGGGCCAGGAAATATATAACTGGGGTGATCATATGTCCCATTTTATGGAACATTCCTTGCTTATGCCTGTGGTCCTAGCATAATTATTAATAACCCCCCCATTTCTGGTCTGTAATTTAATTTACATGGTCAGCCTATAGATCAGGAGCTCTGATACGTCTATCTCACTGTCCACACCATATTTAACTCTAATAATGGCTCTTTCATGCATTCCTGTGCCCAAGCTCAGTCTTTATAATATGTTTTGGCAGATTTGTCTATTTAGAACGAGGGCCCTGGTCTGCTCTTGTTGGTGCATTCCCAAGATTGAGAATCCAGTCTTTCGGGTCCATCTCAATGGCTGATGGGGCCCCGAGACCTTCTGGCCCATTTACCTGGTGCTCTCTTGGTGCCCATTGCCTGAATGTCCACCAGCTACTTCCTTTGGATTCGCTCTGTGGCCACATCCAACTACCTTTTAGAGTTGTTGTGAGATTAAGTGACAGAATGTACGTGGGGTCCCTGATGTGTTACGTCTGATCCCACCACACACACATACCACATTATCTCTGTCACCTGTCCCCACAGCCCATCTGCCGGTCTGGGTGTCCCCTTCTGTACCTGGCTCTGGTGCACACAATACATGCACTCAGAGGAAGGGTCTGTTTCTATATCTCAGCCCTTCCCAGGCTGCTCCATCCTGTTCTTATGCTGTAGGGTTCCCATGTGGTTGTGTTCAGAAACAGGACACCAGGAAAATGCCAGTGTAGATAATGGGGCAAGTAGGATCTACCCAAGTGGTGATGAGAACAGCAATCACAGAGAGAACTGCAGTGCCCTCTAGTCATGCAGCCTCCACCTCATGCCCTACTCCAGGCAGATTTCCTTGTCTGTTTCTACCCTATTTATAGTGACTTTTAGGCCCACCCTGTATCTCAGAATGTTCTAAGATCAATGGGTGCCCTAGAAGACACTTTCTAACATTAAACTCTATAGAAGTTTGGTCTCTTCCCTGGAGCTAAAAAGAAAGATGTTGATGTGTGTCCTGCTGAGGGAAGGAATATACCCACTAGTGTCCTCTGTAAGAAGTTATAGTTTTTAG